GTCCTTGGGCCTCTCCATTCTTCCTCCATACTCTGAGTCCTTGGGCCTCTCCATACTCTGGGTCCTTGGTTTCCAAATGAGTTGCAAAAGTTGCTCTCAAGAAAAGAGGACTTTGGACCACTGAGCACCAGACCAGGTCTGTTTTTCTTTAGCCCAGGTAAGACGCTTCTGATGTTTGTTGTTCAGCAGCGGCTTGACAAGAGGAATACGACATTTGAAGCCCATGTCCAGGATCCGTCTGTGTGTGGTGGCTCTTGATGCACTGACTCCAGCCTCAGTCCACTCCTTGTGAAAGTCCCCAACAATTTTGAATGGCCTTTTCCTGACAATCCTCTCCAGGCTGCGGTCATCCCTGCTGCTTGTGCACCTTTTTCTTCCACACTTTTCCCTTCCACATAACTTTGTATTAATGTGCTTTGATACAGCACTTTGGGGAACATCCACCGTCTTTTGCAATTTACCTTTTGAGGCTTTCCCTCCTCATGGAGGGTGTCAATGATGGGGTCAGGTCAGCAGTCTTTCCCATGATTGTGATTCCTACTGAACCAGACTGAGAGACCATTTAAAGGCTCAGGAACCCTTTGCAGGTGTTATGGCTGAATGATCTGATTAGAGTGGGACACTTTGAGCCGAGAATATTCCACCTTTTCACAATATTCTCATTTTCTGAGATTGTGGATTTGGGGTTTTCATGAGCTGTAAGCCATAATCATCACAATGATGACAAATCACGGCTTGAACTATCTTGCTTTGCATGTGATGAGTCTATCTCATATTAGTTTCACTTTTTAAGTTGCTGCACTGAAATTAACTTTTGCACGATATTCTCATTTTTCGAGTTTCACCTGTACATCAAAGATCAGGCTCGCTGCAGCATTAGGGTTTAGTTATTAGGGTACAGTTTATCAGCTTGCCTGTGGAGCCGAAGCTCCGTATAGTTAACCAAGTTTTGGTGGGTTCATAGGTGGGGTCATAACAAGTTACCTGGTTCCCTACAGTGCACATTGAATAAGTTGTTTTCATTGTATACACAAGTGTCAGTTACTGTGCCTTCACATTGATAATGAGAATGCCATAGTAACATTCTAGTAGTCGTGATACATGGGTCACATGATTTGCCCTCTATAGCCTTGACCACTGTAATCAAGCAAAGGCATAACAACAGTTTACTCATCTTTTTTGAGATTGGCTGTATATTCTTGCAATGACTGGCATGTATCCACGTCTGTTTGTTTTTCTTCTAATTTTACAGCTGTGGCAGTTTTCAGGAGTATTTGGTAGGGTCCTTCAAACTTTGGTCCCAAGGGCACCTTTACATGTTCTTTTACTAGGACCCAATCACCATGCTGTAAGTCATGTGTTCCAGTTACTTGATCTGGAATGGAATAAAAAGCTTGTGCATTGCAGTTAATTGCTTGTGTAAGGCAATTACATAAGAAACAAGGCCATTATGCATTACAACAGTCTGATGTGGAAAATACAACCCTGTCTTAGGTGGGCCTCCAAATAAACTCTCATAGGGGCTCAGGTTCTCTGTCTTATAGGTAGGCGTGGTCCTGATGCTGTAAAGAACCAGAGGGAACAGTTCTGGCCACTGCTTCTTTATTGATCCTTCCCCCTTTTCCTGCATTAGTTTAGCTAACCTATTCTTAATGACTCCTTTTTATATCTTTCTACTTTACCTGACACTCCCTGAATGTTCAAATGGAGATCAGTGCCTGTGTATCCTCAAGGCATGGACAAGCTTCCCCATGGTCCTGTTGAGAAACCAAAAATATCCTGAGGCCACCTAGAACCAGGAAAGTCTGCCTCACAATCACAAGCAGTAACACTCCCTGAATGTTCAAATGGTGATCAGTGCCAGACAGTGTATCCTCATGGCATGGACAAGCTTCCCCATAGTCCTGTCGAGACACCCAACAACATCCTAAAGCCACCTAGAACCAAGGAAGTCGACTTTCACAACCGCAAACAGTAACACTCCCTGAATGTTCAAATGGAGATCAATGGCATGGATCAGTTTCCCCATAGTCCTGTTGAGACACCAAAAACTTTCTAAAGCCACCTAGAACAAGGGAAGTCAACTTTCACAACTGCAAGCAGTAACTTCCTGAATGTTCAAATGGAGATCAATGCCCTTGTATCCTTAAGGCATGGACAATCTTCCCCATAGTCCTGTCGAGACACCCAACAACATCCTCAAGGCATGAACAAGCGTCCTTATGGTCCTATCGAGACACCAACAATATCCTGAGGCCACCTAGAACCATGGAAAAGCTTCCTTATGGTCCTGTTGAGACACCAACAATATCCTGAAGCCACTGAGAACCAGGAAAGTCAGCTTTCACAACCACAAGCAGTAACCCTTCCTGAATGTTCAAATAGTGATCAGTGCCAGACCGTGTATCCTCAAGGTGTGGACCAGTTTCCCCATAGTTCTGTCGGGAAAAGTTTCCCCAGTGTCCTGTCGAGACACCACCAACCTCCTTGGGCACACTGTCCTTTTTTTTCTGGAGTTTTGAGCTGGGACAATTGACCTCAGGCTGGCTTGTCGGTAATGTTTTTCTCTCCCAGCCATGGTTGGCATTTCCTTTTCTTTTTACCCGGCCACTCCTGCAGCAAGAGATATGAAAAACGTTCTTGTTGATTGCCAGCAAAGCATCTTTCAGAGTGTCGAAGAATCTTGCTGCAGCTGGTTTCAGCGAAAACTCTTCTAGGCATCTTTGCTTTGCTGCAACGTGCCTCGCAAACTTCTGAATGTTTTCCAGATAGAGTGGTGGAATTGCTGGATCCACATACTTCAAGCTGCTGGAATAGTTTGATGGTCCATTGAGGGTGCACTTCAATGAAACCTACTGGGGGGGGGGTCCACATAGCAAAGGTACTCTTTAAATCCTACAAAGAAGAATCAAATGTTTTATGTAGCCCTACCTTCTCCATGCTCAAGACGAGTGGACGATTCAGCAGATGTGCTAGGGGCCAGTTACTGGCCAATGCCTTGGGACTTCATGTCTGGTGACCAGCAGCCATCTTCAGAAGGTCACCACACAATGGAGGTGTAATCCCTGATGCTCTTCTAGGTTTACTACCTGCCTGATGTTAAACATGTATGACCTCACCTCTTGGGAGGTCTATTGCTCCGGTAAGCAGATGGCGTGTTAATTCCCTTGGTGAAGGTGCGCTGAACTTGGTGGTCTGAAGTGGATCTGTACTTTTTTTTTTTTTTTGATTGGACTTTTATTATGAAATTGTGTTTTTTTTTATTTAAATATTATTTGCACTAGTACTTCCCCATGAACAAGCTTCCTTTTATGGTCCTATCGAGACACCAACAATGTTCTGAGGCCACCTAGAACCAGGAAAGTTGGCTTTCACAACCACAAGCAGTAACACTCCCTTAATGTTCAAATGGAGATCAATGTCTGTGTATCCTCAAGGCATGGACCAGCTTCCCCATAGTCCTGTCGAGACACCAATGTCCAGAGGCCACCTTGAACCAGGGAAGTCGGCTTTCACAAACAAAAGCAGTAACACTCCCTAAATGTTCAAATGGTGATCGATGCCAGAAAGTTTACTGTATCCTCAAGGCATGGACAAGCTTCCTTTTATGGTCCTGTTGAGACACCAACAATGTCCTGAGGCCACCTAGAACCAGGGAAGTCGGATTTCACAAGCAGTAACACTCCCTGAATGTTCAAATGGAGATCAATGCCCGTGTATCCTCAATGGACACGCTTCCTCATGGTCCTGTCGAAACACCACATAGCAAAGGTACTTTTTAAATCCTCCAAAGGATAATCAAATGTTCTATGTAGCCCTACCTTCTCTATGCTCAAGACAAATGGACAATTTGGATGTGCTAGGCGCCAGTTACTGGCTAATGCCTTGGCACTTCATATCTGGCAACCAGCAGCCATCTTCAGAAAGTCACCAAAATGGAGATGTAATCCCCGATGCTCTTCTAGGTTTACTACCCGCCTGATGTTAAACATGTATGACCTCATTCAATAATGAAGATGGGACTTTCAGGGTGCATAAACATGAATACTAAACATATTAAAAAGTTATATAATTTTTATTTTGTATTTTTTAAAAAACAAAAGGAAAAAATACAGAAACATAAACACAAGTTCAGTACTAAGAGTGGAACTGAGACTCAAACTTGATTATATAATTGTAGTTACTCCCTACATGTTTCGCCCTTACGGGCTTTTTCAGGGCAGATTTTTGGAGGGATTTCAACTGCCGGGGCAGTCTAAAGGTATATCCAAAAGAATTATACAATTACCAATCAACTTTAATATATCCAATACAAAGTATTTAATCAAATACATAAAACTCAATGGCTCACCCTGGATGTGAAAGCTCTCAGAGCTAGGAGGAAATAACCTATCAAATATCTTAATTGGCCTACATGTCCAATTATGCCTAGATGGATGCATCAGACATCCATCTAGGCATAATAGGATAGACAGATCCAAAACTAATTTCATTTCAAAGAAGAGGTCAAAAGTTGAGTAATAAAAATTAACTTCAGCGGTTTTACCTGTTGAAAATTGCAGACGGATATAAAAGGTATATTTTGTCTAAAGATCTAATTGGCCTATTATGTCCAAAAAGGTTGGAGAATATAATAGGCATCAGATATCCATCTCGGCATAACGGGATTGTCACGGACTGCCAGTGCCTCTCCCATCCCCCGCCATATCCCTTCACCGCTCCCTTCCCCCTTGCACATTCCGATGTCTGTCTGTGGAGCTTCCATGGACAGGGCTGGGCCAGCCGTTGCCGAGGCAACCTAGCCACATCCCAAATGATTTTCAAAAAACCCGCACCGGAAGCAGCCCTCCTCTCTGTTCCTGTCCATGCTGCTGGAATCATTTTGCTCCCGGAAAGATGCTGGGAGGCTCGGGTGAGGGGGATCGAGCCTCCCCAGCCATCCCCCCTGCGCACTCTGCAGACCCCCAAAAGGTCAGGACTGTAGCCCTCTGCAATACCCCAGGGTTGGGAGTCTGAACAGCTCTGCATGAGCCTTCTCCTCCAAAGCTCAGACCCCACAGCTGAGACCCTGCAAGACCATGCAAGTCTGTAAGCCTGTCTACTGAGCACCCTTGCACCCTGTCTGCTGCTGAGTGCCCTGGGAGCTGCTGCTGAGGGACCTTGCACACTGTCTGTGGCTGCGTGTCCCTGGAAGCCATTCGCTGTTGAGTGCCCTGGGAGCTGCTGCTGTCTGCTGATCGCTGGTTGTCCCTAGAACGCTAACCGCTGGTCGTCCCTGTCTGGAGCCGCCTGTTGCTGAGGGTCTGAAAGTTGCTTATCATGAATGTCCTGAACTGTCCCTGCTGTGTGCACCAACCACCCACATCCTGAACTAACCCCGCTGTGTGCACCAACCACCCACGTCCTGAACTGTCCCCGCTGTGTGCACCAACCACCCACGTCCTGAACTGTCCCCGCTGTGTGCACCAACCACCCACGTCCTGAACTGTCCCCGCTGTGTGCACCAACCACCCACGTCCTGAACTGTCCCCGCTGTGTGCACCAACCACCCGGGTTATGCACTGCCCTACTACATGCCTAGAATACCCTTACTTGAACCGCCCCATGGCGTGCCCGGAGTATAGCTACCTGTGGTGCCCCTGAGTGCTTGAGCCATCGCTACCCGTTGAGTCGCCGTGAACCCAATGTCCCTAGAAAGCTAGATGGGAGCTGTGCTGAGGCCAGACTCCACAGCTAGAGGCCCGTTGAGTCCCCGAGACCCCTGCCCAGGGGTAGGTTGCCGCCTGTTGCCCGAGGTCCCTGCCCAGGGGTAGGTTGCCGCCTGTTGCCCGAGGTCCCTGCCCAGGGGTAGGTTGCCGCCTGTTGCTCGAGTCTCCAATCCGCTGTCCAGTCACAGAGGGAGCTCGGCCGAGGCCCCAAGCCTAGGGGGGAGATTGCCTGCCTGTCGCTGAAGACCCCCCGTGCCTGGAATTGTCCCTGGTTTGCGCACACATCACCCTCCCTGCCATTTCCCCATTGAGTGTCCTTTTCATTTTGTTGCTTCAATAAAGCTTTGTGTGTTCCCCATCTTCTCCGTGTGCTCTGTCCTGCCTACGCTTCTATTACAGGGATAAACATCGGGGAGTCCAGAATTAATTTCATTTCAAAAAGGGAATATAAGGAAAAGGTTATAAGTTAATGAAGGGTTAAAGTTAAGCGATTTTACCTGTTAAATATTGCAATTCAAGCAGCAAGGACAATGTGGGGGGAAAAAAAGATTTTTAATTGAATATCAATTTCCAATTCCACTACAGCAAACTGCTGTAATTCCTACACCGTTCACCTGATTTGGATGTAAATACCCTCCAATTAAAGCTGACAGTCTGCAGTTAAAGCACATCTTGTTCATTTCATTTCAAATCCATTGTGGTGTATAGAGCCAACAATGTTAGTTGTCCATGTCCCAATATTTATGGACCTGACTGTAGTAAGCAATGATGTCAGAAGTGACAACTTGCTTACTATTCATGTGATCACAAATTGGCCAATCAGTGATCACATGATCAGGACCTCACACAGAGCTCCCGTACAGCGATTGGTGGATCGCGGTGCTGCACGCTCCCAGGGAGCGCGCACAAGCAGGGGGTGGGGAGGACATTTATGAATGGCCACCACCCCTGCACTGCCCCGTCCGACCATTTATATACATGGACCGGACAGGAAGTGGTTTTGAAAGGGAGCAATACTGTTGAGACTTCTGCAGAGCTGGCTTGAATAGACCAAACCTCAATTCTAATGCCATCTTGTGGCTGCAAAGAAAAATGACAGCCAAAAGAAAAGAAATACACAAAGGATTGGTCAACATAAAAACAGGAATCACTAAGTGAAAAAACCAAAACAGAAAAACATAAATACAGTAAGCAGGTTAAAGAGTGATCCAAATAAACCAGCTGCCTGCCTACCGGGCACTTCTACCCCCTTCCTGCCTACCGGGCACTTCTACCCCCTTCCTGCCTACCGGGCGCTTCTACCCCCTTCCTGCCTACCGGGCGCTTCTACCCCCTCCCTGCCTACCGGGCGCTTCTACCCCCTCCCTGCCTACCGGGCGCTTCTACCCCCTTCCTGCCTACCGGGCGCTTCTACCCCCCTCCCTGCCTACCGGGCGCTTCTACCCCCTTCCTGCCTACCGGGCGCTTCTACCCCCTCCCTGCCTACCGGGCGCTTCTACCCCCTCCCTGCCTACCGGGCGCTTCTACCCCCTCCCTGCCTACCGGGCGCTTCTACCCCCTCCCTGCCTACCGGGCGCTTCTACCCCCTTCCTGCCTACAGGGCGCTTCTACCCCCTTCCTGCCTACAGGGCGCTTCTACCCCCTTCCTGCCTACAGGGCGCTTCTACCCCCTTCCTGCCTACAGGGCGCTTCTACCCCCTTCCTGCCTACAGGGCGCTTCTACCCCCTTCCTGCCTACAGGGCGCTTCTACCCCCTTCCTGCCTACAGGGCGCTTCTACCCCCTTCCTGCCTACAGGGCGCTTCTACCCCCTTCCTGCCTACCGGGCGCTTCTACCCCCTTCCTGCCTACCGGGCGCTTCTACCCCCTTCCTGCCTACCGGGCGCTTCTACCCCCTTCCTGCCTACCGGGCGCTTCTACCCCCTTCCTGCCTACCGGGCGCTTCTACCCCCTTCCTGCCTCCCGGGCGCTTCTACCCCCTTCCGCCCTCCCGGGCGCTTCTACCCCCTTCCTGCCTCCCGGGCGCTTCTACCCCCTTCCTGCCTCCCGGGCGCTTCTACCCCCTCCCGGCCCCCCCGGGCGCTTCTACCCCCTCCCTGCCTACCGGGCGCTTCTACCCCCTTCCTGCCTACCGGGCGCTTCTACCCCCTTCCTGCCTACCGGGCGCTTCTACCCCCTTCCTGCCTACAGGGCGCTTCTACCCCCTTCCTGCCTACAGGGCGCTTCTACCCCCTTCCGGCCCCCCCGGGCGCTTCTACCCCCTTCCGGCCCCCCGGGCGCTTCTACCCCCTTCCTTCCCCCCCGGGCGCTTCTACCCCCTTCCTTCCCCCCCGGGCGCGCTTCTACCCCCTTCCGGCCCGCCGGGCGCTTCTACCCCCTTCCGGCCCGCCGGGCGCTTCTACCCCCTTCCTGCCCAGGCCAATTTCCAGCTTTCAGCGCTGTCACACTTTGACAATTGCGCGGTCATGCAACACTGTACCCATATGACATTTTTATAATTTTTTGTGACAGCTTTATTTTGGTGGTATTTAATCCCCTCGGGTTTTTATTTTTTCTTAAACCAAAAACCACAGAATTTTGAAGAAGAAAAAAAGTTTTTTTTTTCTTAGTTTTTGTTATAAAATTTTGTAAAGTGATTTTTCTCCTTCACTGATGTGCACTAATGAGGTTGCAGTGATGGGCATTGATAGGCTGCACTGATGAGGAGGCACTGGTAGGTGGCACTAATGGGCACTGAAAGGCAGCACTGACGGGCACTGATAGGTGGCACTGGGTGACACTGAGGCAGCTCAGATGGACATTGATGTGGCACTGATGGGCACTGATATGTTGCATTGATGTGGCACTAGCACGTGGCACTGATGAGCACTGACAGCTAGCATTGATGGACACTGACAGGTGGCACTGCTGGGGCTACACTGATCATCAGGGCACACTGATCATCAGTGTAGATGTCCCCTCCGAGGAATGCCGATTACCGGCTCTCCTCTCCTCTGTCAGCGTGACAGCTCGAGAGGAGAGAAATGCCGATAACCGGCATTTCCCTGTTTACATGTGATCAGCTCTGATTGGACACAGTTGATCACATGACCGAGCCGACATCTTCGGCTCTTTCCATGGATCAGTGATCTGCTGTGTACAAGGGACACAGCGCACCGCCGATCGCCATGCTCTGGGAGCCGCGCATGCGCGGTGAGAATGGGAGGACGTCATATGACGTCCTCTCAGAACGAGAGAACCGCCTTGCATCTGTCATATTACTATATGGCGGACGGGAGGTGGTTAACGAGGTAGTAATAAACACCAAATTGGATAGCGGTTCTTCTGAATTGAACGCATTTTATCTCAAGCTGTTTGGAGCCTTGCAAGAATTGCAGTTGTATGTAAAAGGAGAGTCACCCAAAATGTTCAAAGGTGACTACGCCCGGGGCGTCCGTACAACTGCCAAAAGGATGTTAAGCTCTAATAGGGGGGGTACAAGTGATTTGCAATTGTTTGATGAATTCCTCTTGCGCTGTAATGGACCCCCAATCCCTACCTATCAGCTGCTAACACTCAAACTGATACCCAACCAGTGCAAAAATGAATAATAAACAATAGTGCAGCGCTAACAAACTAAATCCACTATAAATACTACTTCATGCGCTAAAAAAGCCAAAGACACCTACATGTGAAATACTTAAATAAAAGCATAAACATGAAAATATATAAAATGTGAAAATTATAACACATCTTAAGGTGACCAAATTATCTTAGTGCCCCATTCCTGCGCCAACAAATAGTAGAATAAAAATCGCAAGCACAAATAACGTGATGGTGCCGCTTCAAATCTCATAAATGAACAAACACATAAATATACAAGTCCAATAAAATAATTCAGTGACGCAGCATACTTCACGCAATGTGCAATTAGTGCTCAATCGTGTAAGTGCCAACACACTTTTCCACTCCAGCTGCAGTGCCTCCTCACCTCCTTTCTACGACCCCTAGGGGCCACAGAGCTTTCAGGATCACCCTGGATCCTCAACAATTCCGTCTGGTAAACCTCCTTAGTTCTCCTATTTATGCCTCCTCCACCTTTTTTCTTCTCTGTGACCTATGAGGTCTTTTTAGGCAGTATTTCTGTGAAATCTCACTCTCATATTAGTGAGCAAAAAAAAGAGATCCTCCATAGTGTAGTAAATCAAGCTTGCAGGCGTTTATTTATCAGCAGAAGTTACTCACATTGTAATACAGCCTCTTCCTCTCCCCTGCATGGGTAAACTGCATTCATGGGGTAACAAAAAGAAAAAAAAATAGTCAAGCGCTTATATCTCATAAATAAAGTAAAGTGCATTCAAAAAAGAATTAATATAAATTAACCACTTGCCTACCAGGCACTTATACCCCCTTCCTTACCAGGCCAATTTTCAGCTTTCAGCGCTGCCGCACTTTGACAATTGCGCGGTCATGCAACATTGTACCCATATGAAATTTTGATCATTTTTTTCTCACAAATAGAGCTTTCTTTTGGTGGTATTTAATCGCCACTGGGCGCTTTACTTTTTGCGCTATAAATTAAAAAATGTGCAAAAAATTTGAAAAAAAAAAAAAGTTTATTTGTTTCTTTTATAAAATTTTTCAAACAGGTATTTTTTTCTCCTTCACTGATTTGCGTTGATGAGGCGGCACTGATGGGCACTGATAGGCGGCACTGATGGGCACTGATAGGCGGCACTGATGGGCACTGATAGGCGGCACTGATGGGCACTGATAGGCGGCACTGATGGGCACTGATAGGCGGCACTGATGGGCACTGATAGGCGGCACTGATGGGCACTGATAGGCGGCACTGATGGGCACTGATAGGCGGCACTGATGGGCACTGATGGGCACTGATAGGCGGCACTGATGGGCACTGATAGGCGCACTGATAGGCGGCACTAAAGGGCACTGATAGGCAGTACTAATGAGGTGGCACGGATAGGCGGCACTGATAGGTG